ATATATTTTTAGTTATATGCATTCACACAAATTCTGTGTGACCATCAGGGTTAAAGAAAATCTCTCTTCATTTCTTCCATGCACACATACTTAAACCTTTTATTTGGATATAATATAACCCTCACAGAAATGTTGTAAAAATAAACAGAGTTTTCATATACCCTTTACCCAGTTTTCTCAAATGTTAATATTTTAACAAATTTGCGTATTCTCTTTTTATGTATGCACATTCTTTCTGATCCTTTTGAAAGCGAGTTGCAAGCCTGATACCCCTTTGTTACTAAAACCTGTATATTTCAAAAACTAGGACATTCTCTGATATCACTGTAATAATCAAAATTGATGCAATACTGTAAGCTAGTGTATAGACTTTATTCAGATATTGTCAATTGTTTCAATAATGTCCTTTATAGGAAAAGAAAAATCCCGTATTCATAGTTGCATTCAGGTGTCTTTGCAATCTCCTTTAGTCAGGTTTTTTTAGTCTCCTTCAATCAGGGACATTTCCTCAGTTTTTCCATGACTTTCCTGACTTTGATGTTAGAACACTTGACCACTCTAAACTTTTTTTTTTTTTTTTAGTAATAACTTTATTGAAACATAATTCACACACCATACAATTTACCCATTTATAAAAGTTTATAATTCAGTGGTTTTTAGTTGGTTCACAGAGTTGTGCAACCATTACCACAATCAATTTTAGAAAATTTTCATCATTACAAAAAGAAACCCAATACTTCTTAGCCCTCCCTTCCATTTCTCCGTCTGCCCATCCATAGGTAATCACTAACCTATGTGGTCTCTGTAGATTTTCCTACATTTGGACATTTCTTATATGTGACCTTTTTGTCTGACTTCAACATGCTGTACAGTTTGTAACCTAGAACAATAGACTATACCATATAGTCTAGGTATGTAGTACACTCTGCCATCTAGGTCTGTGTAAGTATACTCTGTGATATTCATACCATGACAAAATCACCTAATGATGCATTTCTCTGAACATATCCCTGCCATTATTGAATGCATGAATGTGTTTCATTGTATGGATATGCCGCATTTTGTTTGCTTAGCAGTTGATGGATGCTTGAGTTCTTACATTTCGGCTATTACAAACAATGCTACTATAAACATTTGTGTACAAGTTTTTGCTTGGACATATGTTTTCATTGTTCTTAGATGTATGTCTAAGATTGATATTGCTGGATTATATGGTAACTCTATCTTTAACCACTTGAGGAGCTGCCAGCCTATTTTCCAAAGCAGCTACATCATTTTACTACATTCCCATCAGCAACATATGAAGGTTCCGATTTCTCCACATCCTCACCAGCATTTGTTATCTGTCTTTTTGATGATAGCCTTCTTAGTGGTTGTGAAGTAGTATCTTGTGGGCTTTTTAAAAATAGTGGTAAAATAAAACTTACCATTTTTAACTGGAATGATTCAGTGGCATTAAGTACAATCACATTGTTGTGTAACAATCACCACCATCCATCTCCAGTATGTTTTCATTTTCTCATACTGAAATTCTGTACCCATTAAACAATAGCTCCCCATTTCTCCACTGTGGCTTTGAATTGCATTTCCTGGTTGGCTAATGATGTTGGGCATCTTTTCATGTGCTTGTTGGCCATTTATGTATCTCCCTTGGAGAAGTATCTTTGCAGATTTTTTCTCATTTTTAATTGGTTTGTCTTTTTATTCTTGAATTGTATAAGTTGTTTATATATTCTACATACAAGTTCCTTACCAGATATATGATTTGTAAAAATTTTCTCCCATTTTCTGTTATCTTGTGACTTTCTTGATGGTGTCCTTTCAAGTACCAAAAGGTTTGAATTTTGATGATATCTAGTTTATTTTTTCTTTGATTGCTTGTATTTTGGTGTTATATCCAAGAAACTGTTGTGTAATCTAAGGTTCATGTAGATTTGTGGCTCTGTTTTCTTCTAAGAGTTTTATAGTTTTAGCTTACCCTCAGTTGTTTAACAGACTGCTTCCTCTACATGTTGTTCTGACTCTTCTCTAGGAATATGACTTCTTATTGAGACTATGCGCTACACAAAAGTGGGTGCAATGCTCCCTTTGAGCTTTTATATTTTTAACTGCATAGGAATGCATTTTTGTTCTGGCCTCATCATTGAATTTTCTCCTATTTTACTCCTTTTATTCCCTGTCTTTTGTCCTCAACTGATGTCTTGGTCATTCACCCACATTCACTGGGAAATTGACCAACTCTTCCTTGTCCTACCGATGTCTCTATTATCCTGGGCAACCTGAGCATCTGTATATAATGTCTCACCAACATTATAGCCTTTCACTTTGTTATGTCTCAATTCCTGTTGACATCACCTACGTCCCTGTTTCAGCAACCTATTCCTGTTGCCAGATCTTGGACCTTGCTATTCTTCAAAAATACTAAATGCCTGTATCTGTACTCTGATTATTATTTCCTATCCTCTTTCTTTTCTCTTTTTTCCCCTCTTTTCTTTCCTTCATTCTTTCATTACCCCAACTCTCAGCCACTTCATTTCTTCCTTCTGACTCTCTTTATTTCCCTGTCTAACCTATTCTCCAAGATTCATCTCATCCAAAATGCATAGTAAACTTTTTTCTTCCCTTTCCTTCTAGTCCATTCCAAGAATCTCTTAGTATGGTTTCCCCAGCCCTTTGAGCCATTCTGGTATACATTAGATGCTCAGTCAATGATGAGTGAATAAATAGTGGAATTAGCAAACCTAGGATCCATTAGACAAAATTCATTTGTCTCTTTGGCTCCTATTCTTGAACCGGTGGGCCTTGAGAAAAATCACAACTGCACATTGAGTCACTGTTATAAAATCATGGTCTCTAATTTCAACTGGTAGCTCAGTACTGTCTCATGATTTTTACGTGGTCCTAGTCATCACTCTCTTATCTTCTGTAACAGTATTTATAAACATTCGCTCTGCTCTTATTTCATAATGTGCTTTCTCACTCTTAGCAGATGAACTTGCTTCTTTCTTCACTGAGAAAAAATGAGGCCAACAGGTGGGAATTTGCTTAGCATCCTCCCAGACCTCTACAAGAATACTAGCATCTGTTCCCATGCTTTCCTCTGACCTCTTGTTTCAGGAGAAGACAACTTGGCCCTTTCTTCATTTGAGCTTGTTTCTCTATCTGTGTTTTTGTTTACCCTGTCCACCTCTTGAGGGACCTTGTTCCATCAGTTATTTTTCCTATCTTCAACTCTTCTTTGTATACTATCTTTCTCCCCTCAGCATGTAAACTTAAAAAAAAAAAAGCAAATAGTTAAATGTACTAACTAACCTAAACCAAAACAGACATTTATTCAATATTCTCTAGCCACCAGGAGTCCTGTTTCTTCTTCCCTTTCTACCCAGCTTTTTGTAAGAGGAGTCTGTATTAGCTGTGTCCATTTTTATTTGTGATTCATTACTAGTGAACTCACTGTTTCTCCTAAGTTTATTGACTCCCTGATTGTTAAGCATACTCATTGTAGTCTCCTTATTAACTTACCTCTGTAGCATTTGACACTGTTGGCCACTCCCTATTCTTTGAAATGTCTATTCTGCTGGCTTCTTTGATCACGTTTTATATGGAAGTCACATGGGCTCTCTGAAAAAAACCAAAGCCTAATGGTGCAACATTTTCAGGTAGATGCATTTGCAGTTAGGTAGGTTGGTTCTGGAGCAAAGGCCTAACATTTTCTGTGATTTACTTTGTTTATAGCAGTTACTCAGTAATTATTGCTGCTACTAATACCATGCTGAGCTGAGGGGTCAGAGGTAGAGGGTATCCAAGTGTGCTCTCACAAGTCTTTATTTCCTAGTAGGCATCCCTAGTAGGCAGCTAGTAAAGTGAAGTAGACCTATATGTACTGGTGATGTATAGAAAAAAAAATCAAGGGACAGGTTTATTTTGTATATATATTTATATATTTGCACATACATGTGTTTTTTTTTCCTCCCATATCATTTGTAAAGAAGAATTATACTGCAGAA